TCATCGTTACCTTGTTCAGCTCTTGGTAGTCTATACACATGCGATGTGACCCGTCCTTTTTCTTCACAAACAGAATCGGGACTCCCCAAGTCGAACTACTCGGCTTGATAAATCCTTTGTCTAGCAGCTCCTGCAGCTGCATAGACAACTCCTGCATCTCGAGAGGAACCAACCGATATGGTACCTTGGCTATCGGAGCCGCACCAGGGACTAGGTCGATCCTGAACTCCACCTGTTGCTCCGTAGGTATCCCAGGGAGCTCCTCTGGGAACACGTCTGTGTAGTCCCGCACCATCGGAACATCACTCATCGTCGCCTTACCCGCCTCTCGGGTATCCAAGACATAGGCGACATATCCTGCGCAACCCTGCTGAAGGTAACACGTAGCCCTCGTTGCCGAACATAAAGTTGGTCCTTGCTGTGGCCTCTCGCCCTGAATTACCAGCTCTCCCCCACTTGGGGTACTTATCCACACCAACTGTCGCGTGCATTCGATCACCAGCCCATTGGCGCTTAGCCAATCCATGCAGATAATAACCTTGTTCCCCCCGCAAAGGTTTGGGAACCAAGTCTACTAGGTAGTGCTCCTCGAATAATCTCAGCACACAATCTCGGAATACTACTGATGCTCGCATTGATCGATCATCGGCAATCTCTACCTCTAAAGGGCAATCCAACATGTTCGAAGACTCGGGAAACCTCTAGCTAAGCGTAAGAGAAACAAAAGATCAAGTGGCACCTGAATCAAACAGCACCTGGACTGGAATACCGTTCACATGGAACGACCCTAAACATCCATATACATATCATATATCAATATCATAAACATCATGTAAATAGAATCAGAGGGAAAGAATCATACCCGTCACCACATCGGGTGCGGCGCGTGCCTCCTTGGTAGTCAACTGGAAGGCCCAACTCCTCACCACTGGAGCCTCCGCCTTGCCCTGCCGGCCATCAGTAATCCGTAGGGTCGCTGGAGCTGGCGCCTTTACTGGCGCCACTGCTGCTGCTGTCAACTAGGGATGATTGGCCTTCTTGTGGCCCCTCTGGTTGCAGTGGAAACCGAACAACTCTGATGTCTGAAATGTGGGTGCAGGGGCAGTACAATCCCTACTGAAGTATCCCGTATTGCCGCACTTGTAGCAGCCAGACGATCCCATCTTGCATGCTCCCTCATGCGCCCTGGGAAGTGGGAACGCCTAGCGATGTCCGTAAAACTGATTAAGTGTGGCTCGTTTAAGATAAATCATAAAAAATTGACAAACAAACATGTGTAAATGATATGCACTATATATATATATATATATATATATATATATATATATATATATATATATATATATATATCTTTACTATCTTATAAAAGAAATCTAACTATTTCTAAAAATAGATTGATTATAATAATAATATTTTTTTAAGACGTCCAAATAATGAAGCTGATAGTACAAGTAAACATTAATAAAATAATATTAAATCTTAACCACATTTTGAATTCAAATATTTATCATCAAATCTCCTTATATTTCTCAGCAATTTGATATTGTTCCTTCAAATCCCGGATTCATTCAAATTTTGAACCCTTTTAAATATCCTTAAATTTAGCATGTTGATTCAAATATCCCTCCAATCGTATATACCTCTTTGTTCCCTCATCTGCTATAAAGCCCACCATCTAGGAACAAAAAATGACTTCATCTCCCAACTAACACCATAGTTTGATTATTTTGTTTTCGACATGTACTTTCTTTTGTAACATAACATTTTTTTAGAGGAAATATATCACCGAAAGAATTTACAAACCCCGCCGCTTTGCGCGGGTACGCTGCTAGTATATATATATATATATATATATATATATATATATATATATATATATATATATATATATATATATATATATATATATATATATATAATCCAAATTTACATTTTTTCCAAAAAAAAAAAAACTAAAAACAAAATATTCTAAATGTCTGCAATATTGAAAAAAAAACATTTTTTTATGCACACGAAAGTATGCATATGCCAACGTTTTATATAAATCTATTGACAAATATATACATGGCACTCCATGTCTAGGGGCAGACGCATGAATACTTAGCTCCGGATAGAGGTTTTGATCTTAAACTTCAGCAAGAAGGTCATAAAATACGGTCAAAATAACTGATTTTTAAAAGTCTTTTATAATATTTTACTTATATATATATAATATATATATATATATATATATATATATATATATATATATATATATATATATATATTTTGTATATATACTTTTATGATAATAATCAATTGCTTGTAAATTCTTATAATTTTTTAATAATAATAATAATAATAAGTAGTTTTAAAATTAATTAATAATAATAATAATTAATAGTAATTAACATGAAATTATAAATTACATATATTAACTAAAAAAGGTTGAGTTTTTTTAAATATTGATTATGATTAAGGATAAAAGATGAAAAATAAGTACTATAATTTCTTTGAATATGATATTGAAAAATTAGTATACTATTATTTTGCTACTAAGCTAACATGTTTATTTACCTCGACCTATACAAACCAACACAGATAGGGGTGTAAGTGAGCCGAGCTACTCGTGAGCTACTCAGGATCGACTCGTTAAAAGCTCGACTCGAGATCGAATTAAACGAGCCCGAGCCTAAATATGAGGCTCGTTTATTAAATGAGCTCGAGCCGAGCTTCAATTAATGGGCTCGCGAGCCTGAACGAGCTTAAACGAGCCTATATATATATACACACACACACATACATACGTACACACACACACACACACATATATATATATATATACACACACACACACACACAGAGGCTCGTTTAGGCTCGATTAGGCTCGCGAGCCCACTAAATTATTCATGAGCCGAGCTCGAGCTTCATTTTAAGGCTCGAATCGAGCTCGAGCTTCCTCAAATTAAACGAGCCGAGCTCGAGCTCTGTCAGGCTCGGGCTCGGCTCGACTCGTTTACACCCCTAAACACAGACATCCATACTTGAAGCTTGGCTGTTGCTATATGTGATCAAGAGTCGTTCTCTTTCATTGGTGACACAAGATCAACCTTTATTAATCATTATGATCATTTTAGTCAACTAAATCAAACTTTAAAAACTCAATATTCAAGGCATGCTGGCGTGTAGCTTGGTGGCTTGATGTGCTTATTTCGAGATTTCTTATCGCTTCAAATTTTACTCAGTCAGTTGGGTTGATAGTAGACTATTTGGTAGAATGAAGAGGGTGATCGTCGATTCTGTGTGTCTGGTGGGTATTTGGGTTCTTTGGACTTATAAAAATGTGGTTTTATTTTATCCTTCGAAGTATAGTGTTACATCCTGATTTTCATAACAAGATTTTTTCATTTTTTTTATTCAATTAAATAAAAGAATAGTTAAAATATGTGGAAAATATGATGTCGTTGTGTGTGTACAATCAAGATGGTCCATCCCTTTTTGGCCTTCAGCGTAAAGCTGGTTCGTCTCTTTATCCTTCAGCGTAAAGCTGGTTCGCCTGAGTCTATTGGCCTTCAGCACGAGTAGAGATGACAAAAAAACCCGTACCCAATGGGTACCCGAAACCCTAACCCGAGTTGACCGGGTAAATCCCCGAGTTAACCGGGGACGGGGATGAGTATTACCCGAATACAAAAAGCATAGATGGGGATAGGGATGGTTCTACATGTCGGGTACCCATACCCGTACCTGAAACTGGCCCCAATAGGTACCCGATATATATATATATATATATATATATATATATATATATATATATATATATATATATAGTTTTATTTATGTTTTTACTTTCAATAATGCATAAGCAAATGTTCAGTAGACAAAGTAAGGTTTTTTAACAACCAAATGTATGGTTTCGGGAAGAATTTTTATGTATTTTTTTTTTGAAAAAAAGTGATTTAATTTGTAACCTTGAATGTTATTGTTCGTGTTTGAATACATTCAGTGATTATAGTGTTTTATATTAGTTCTGTTAGTTTTTGTTTTATTGGTTATTATATAATTATGAGTTATTTTTCATAAAAGTTTAAAACTTGGTAACGGGAAAAAAATCCCCGATTACCCATTGGGGATCCCCGATACCCTTTGGGGATGGGGATGAGGATAGAGTTTTAATCCCCGATGGGGATGGGGTCGGGTATGGGGATGGGGAACATGAAACCCGGTATACCCGTACCCATTGCCATCCCTAAGCACGAGTCGGTCCGTCCTTAAGTCCCCACACAACATATTAACACATATATAGCAGACATACAAACACACATTCCAATTGGAAATTAACTAAACTGGTCTATTTGCCTAATAGCATAATATAGTGTAATTATATCCTAACATAAAGATGATATATACTATGGTATAACATAGTCAAAAAACTCACCTTCTCAGACGATTAATAGCTATTTGGGAGATCCAACTAGCGGCCAACACGCCTAACAAGTAATAACCTGTAATACTATAACTTATTTATCTCTATGACAATCTGGTAAAGAAAGCTAGATCTTTCACTAATCTCAATGAATACTTCAAGTTCTATCAAATAAGAAACAACCAGGTAAGATCATATCGAATGTAAGATCTGTTTGGTATACATAGTATATTGTTTGGAAAATCCACTTTAAACACCTCTCAAAATCTAGCCTAGACATCGTTCCCGTAAGTAGATCAATCGATATTATAACTGGAATCACTGATCAATCTTATTTATAGGTTCACAACAATGATAATGAACATAAATATAAGTTACACTTAATACCGAGAGCTCTATATATCATTGGACTCTCTTGCGCTTCAAAGCTTCGCTAAAGTAGCCGGAACTAGGGAGTATCATTACTAGGGGCGCGGGAAAGTTTCTAGTGAATTTGGCGGAAAGATGGTGTGAGAAATGAGCAATAAATCAACCATATATATAGGCGGTCGGTTGGGTGCGCCATATCTTGTCCTAGGCGTGTTGTGCCTATGTGTTAGATGACCGATTGTGCTGCGTTGACTAGAGTTAGGTGCAATTGTTGGTTCTGGAAATGCCACGTGACAAAACGTCGTGGAGCCACATCTAATTTTCGGTGGGCCACATGTTCACATTTCATGGTGTCATGCCATCGAGGTCGGTAGAAGGTGTGGATGTCTCCTTTGCCATGTGGCGTACTCTGGTGCTGCCATGTCACCCCAACATTTTTTCATGAATCTTTGAACAACCATAACTTTCGCATACGAGCTCCGTTTTCGATGTTCTTTATATCTCCAGAATCGTCTTTGCGAACACTACAACTTTCCTTTAGCTCTCAACAGCTAACAGTCACTTTATTTAAATTCATATTTAGATTGGTTTAGCATGTTAGAATTCTTGCGAAATTCATAACTCTTTATATGAACTTCGTTCTCGACGTTCTCCATATCGACGAGTTTAGTTTTACTAGATCTTCAACTATTGTTTACATTGATTTAACTAAAAAGCAACTGATCTTAAATTCACCTTTTATGACCCAACTTAGAAAAATCATAACTTACTTATACGAATTCAGATTTGAATTTTCTTTATATCTACATATATCGTATTGACGTATACTACATAGTTATGATGATTATCTTGGCGAAAAAGTAATATATTTCTACTTCTAATTTTGTAAACAAGTGTTTATATTAAATTCTACTGTAAAGTGCAATCGAAATGTTACATATAGAAAACAATTTATTTTTGATAATATTGTTAAGAATTCTTTTCGTTGGTTTCCTTTACGGACCCTAAGGCTAGGGTTACTTGGAGTGCATGTTGCAGTTTCCAATCTTGCCTTAATTTTGTATTTTTTTAGCTAGCTTGTAGCTAGGGTCTATAATATGAAAAATAATATTAAAGTCGCGCTCCTTTCAGCTTAGGAATTATATTTAAAGAAACACCTAGTTTATTTTATATAGAGTAAATTACTGAAATCGTCCCTATGGTTTGGTTAAAATTGCACGTTTGGTCCCTAATTTTTCTTTTGCACTCGGATCATCCCCGTGGTTTGATTTTGTTGTATTTTTCGTCCCTGTGGTTTGATTTTGTTGCGTTTTTCATCCCTTACACACATAAAGTTAGGGACCAAATATGTAATTTTGACCAAACCACAGGAACGAAAAATGCAACAAAATTAAATCACATGGACGATCCGAGTGCAAAATAAAAGTTAGGGACCAAATATGCAATTTTAACCAAACCACATGGACGATTTCAGTAATTTACTCTTTTATATATACATAAACTTGAAAAATTAATTGTGCCATTTTGATGGCCTTAAAAAAAATGTACCATTCTGATATGAATATTGTATTTACTTAAAAAAAAGGTTAGCAAAGTATTCGTCGGTTGCATTGGAATAGGATAAGGGCTGGAGTCATTGTTATAAAAAACACCCTGGTTAACCAACGTGTGAGCAAACTCCATCCGATTCGTTTTGAATTCGTTGGATGATTGTGGAATTTCGACAGGTGCTGCCATTTGAAAATGGGTATCCAAATGGCCATTAGCTTGTTTAACGTCAACTTGTTCAGGGCAGTTTGAAAATTTGATTTCATCACATGTATCTGGTACTCGTCGTCTCTTGGGCAAAAGTGTGTCAGGTGTTACGTTGGGTTCTTCGGTCACCTCATTTGGATTCATAATGCTTCCAACTTCTTCCACCCCATGACTGTTATCAGTTTGCTTCTTGTAAATCTTGCACAACACCCATTCGCTCAACTGCAAGACCAGATAGAACATATATATAGCATATATCAGAAATAGCAACATTAAGAATTATAGCAACGCACTTAAAAACATACTTAGAATGAATGATAAATGAATTTCTTTGGGTTTCTATATACATACCTTGTCTCCATTTTCAGACGGGTGATCATTGGGGTGCGTTGGTTGTATATTCATGCATTAACCACATAGTTTTGTGCGCATTCCCAATAAACGCAAGAGTTCCCTTGTGGCCAACTATTTGTCTAGTGGCGTCATACACCGGCTTATGTCTTCGGGTAATCCTCCACAACCCTCGTTTTCCAATTATTGTTCTATAACGTTGATTAATCCCTCTACGGTCCTTTGGATCTCTCGACGTCAGAAAATACCATTCATTCTCATGGGAGCGATATCGTTCTGCAATAATTAAAACACATGAATTAATTAGCATCAAATCATTTAAGTTAACTTAATCATGTTTCTTTACTAAACACAGGAGTTTAGTATCTCTGAACAGACAAGAAAGTGACCATCATTCAAGATGAATGTATCTTTAGTTAATTAATTACTAATTAACCTGTGAGTTCTCCGGGCTTGTATTTGTAAATATTGACCTCATGTAACCGGCACTGCTTGGGGATCTCTCTTGATTCGAACTTGGCCTTCAAGTAGTCTACGATGAGCTCTGAATCTGTGGGATTGAATCGAAAGCCGGAAGGAAGCTGATCGGTGAAATCTAGCGCAACTTGCTCACCGTTACAATGTGGGATGATTTCATGTTCGACGTCCATTGAATTTGATGGAAGCATTATTGCATAACTACTGGTGTGAAAGTCGAATGAAGTCGATGAGTATGAGTATTGGACAAGTTTATATATATAGTGAGGAAAAAAATATATTAAAGGAAAGGTTTATCTTTTGTTGATTGACGCGAAAGGTTCGCTAATCTCATGCCGTTTTCTGTTATAATAATGGTAAATTTTCATTTATATCCTTACAAACTTTAAATTTTAAATTACTTTAGTATACTTACAAACTTAAAAATTATATATATATATATATATATATATATATATAAAACTATAAAACCACATTTATATCCAAACTCATAATTTAATTTGGATTATATCAATTTAATATTAAAAAACTTATCAAAACTTCAAAAATTCCATAAGACTTTACCAAAATACCCTTTTCAATATTAAATCCTAAATATAATATTAGGTATTTCTACGTATCGTTAGGCGATGGTTTTTTTATTTGTTTTTTGTTTTTTATAGTTTGCCATGGAAAAATAAATTATGATTTAATATCTTGATGTTTCATGCTTACACAAATAAATTTTTGCATTATCAACGTACAAGTTTGTTTAATTTATGTTTGTAAGTTGGAATATACATGGTCCAGTTTCTTGCTTATGTAATCGTAAGTCAACAACGACTATTTCTTTAGAAAAATTGTTTACTTTAATAAAGAATTGATGTCATATAGAAGGCCGCGTTAGTGATTGGTGAGTTTGACATGTGCTACGGCACTTTGTGTTATTAAGAATCATCAATTCAGTTTGGAATTTTAGTTGTTGCAGGTTGGATGAACCTATACTTCCGGCAACGGTTTGGGTGCAAGGAGACGAAGGGGAAGAGGATGTGCGTATTGGCTAATCGTTAATTTGGGAAGGGCATTTTGGTAAACTTGTATGAAAATTTGAATTTTAGATAAGTTTTTTAATATTAATTTATATAATCCAAATTAAATTATAAGTTTGGATATAAATGTGAGTTTTATAGTTTGAGAAGGACATATGTGTAATTGTATTATTTGTAAGGATATAAAAGTAATATCTAAAGTTTGTAAGGATATAACTGAAATTCTTCCTATAATAATCCCATGGGATTTTCGGTTTATTCGGTCACTAGATAATAAAAACAATAACCTATGTTTAGTTGTACGAAATCATTGCTTATTTTTTTGGATTGGAAAGTTTAATTTAGTCGATCAATTCATCTTCATTTTTACAATTTAATCTAATAATTGTATTAAATTTTATCATCTATAAAAATGATTAAAAATAAAGAAAAAGGCAAATCACCTAACCTTATTCACATCTTTCAAAATTTTAATAAAAAAATAACAATTTGATCAAAAATAGTCATGATTTTTGCAAATAACATCTGCGAAAACTTTGCCATTCATTAAAAATGAAAATTAACATGTTTTAATGAGTCCGATTTGAAAGAAAAAGAATTGGGAAAATATCATATTATGCCAACGAATTTTTCGTGTTTGTTTTAAAAGATCAGTTATCTATTTTTTTGGTATTTTAAATAGGAGTGAATATTTGGACCGGATTGGTTTTGGAAATTATTGCGAACCGGACCAAATGAGACTTATCGGGTCCAGGTCCGGGTTTTTCTGTTCTTGTACCCATTTGGATTGATATAACTTTACATGCATATGATACAACTTGTTAAAACACGTTTTTGGGTTTGATACAACTCCTTAAAATGAATATATTGATGGGTTTGATACGTTACAACTCGTTTAAAAAAAATAGGTTTAATATGGTACAACTTGTAATAATGAATATGTTTATGTTTCTTGTGCCCTTAGGATCGGTCAAACTTTGATTGTTTATACTTCATGTCATTTGTTTGAAGGATTGTATTTTATTGAATATAAAAAACAACAAAATTATATTTTAAACTTATCTACAAAATCTAAATTACAACTTGCAAAAAAACGCATGTTAATTCGACTTAAAACAAATAAGATATGATTGTTTAAAGAATTTCACGTAATACAAAAGTTTAAATTTTTTACTGAAAAGCTGAAATATTTCAGCTTTGATATCTCAACTTTGAAGGATTGTAACACATCGAATATAATACCAGAAACAACAAAATTATAGTCTAAAATCATCTACAAACTCTGAATTACACGTTAGAAAAAACCTCATGTCAATATGACATAAAACAAATGAGATTTGATTGTTTAAATAATTTCTCGGAATAGAAAAGTTAAAATTTATTGCCCAAAAACTGAAATATTCCAGCTTTGATATATCATCTTTGAAGGATTGTAACTCATGGAATATACCACCAAAAACAACAAAATTATAGTATAAAATCTTCTACTAACTCTAAATTACACATTGGAAAAAACCGCAAGTTAATAGACTTAAAACGTATGAGATATGCTTGTTTAAACAATTTAATATAATACAATTTTCTTTTTAAAATTAAGCCGGTCAAAAACCAATTTTTACCTGGAACTGTCCAGACCGGACCAATAAGTAAATAGGACCGGTTTTGTTCAAATCCTAGCACTAGTACAGAAGTGGTTTAATAAAGCCGTTTTTTTTTATTTTTATTTCTTGATGCAGTTATTCAACCGTTTCAAAAAATTATAGCATTATAAAATAGTGTTGTTTTTTGAGACGGTTCTACAACCGCCTTAGAAAATGTCCTAAACCGCCTCATAAAAATAGCTTCATAAAATAGACTTATTTTTTGATGTTGTCCAAAACCGTCTTATAAAATATAGCTTTATAAAATAGACTTATTTTTTGATGTTGTTATTGAATAGCCTTAGAAATTAAACTGCCTTTTAAAACACAATATGAATGACAACATAAAATATCATCAATCATTTGTTGATGCTATTAGTCAACAACATTAGAAAATGTAGAACCGCCTTATATAGATATGAAAGACGTCAATCTCACTTGTTATTTCATTTTTTATTATTGCTACTTTGGCCTTGTATTCTTCCCTCAAGATGCTTCTGTAAATCAATCTCACTTGATGAACTCACATTACAAATAAGACATATCCACTCCATTTTCTTCTTTAAAACCTCACTTGAACCTGCAATAACTAGTAATGACGGTGGTGGTGGTTTTTATCTTTTTTTGAATCATTTGGAACACATTCAGATGAGTTCTCAGCAGACTCCATGGATTTGATAGAGTTTTTCGTTGTCAAATATGTCACTTTAGCTTGATGTTTCTTTCTTGCAAGATGTTCCAGTAAACCACGCTCAGATATGCACTAATTTTCCCGATCGAACACCTCCTATCTTCATTGCCAGCATCTCTCTTCCCATCATCATTTCCTTCTTTACTTGTGCTTCCTAAATGTAAATATGCTCCACATCCTCTAATATAATCTTCATGTTGAATCACTTTTCTTATATCTATCAATCCTCCTTGAAAAGTCATAGAAATCCCAATTTAAATAAAAGAAAAACAACACAAAACATGATTATTTCAACCATACTTGATGAAATCGAAAAAAATCACCAAATTGAATAATGTTCTTTAATTGAATAGTTAATGTGATCAATATTGCGTACCTTCCATAGCCTTTTTTAGGGAAAAAATACTATAGTTGGAAGAAGTTGATGCAAAAGCTGTAGGACATACTTGATTGCGTTCATTTTGAGACTGAATCCTAGCACCCTGAAATCTACAGCTACAAGGATGGAGATATTTAGGGTTTTGCACTAGGGAGAAGTTTAGTCGAAGTAAAAGAGATGACGATGAATTCTTAGGAGTAAATTCTCATTTATGAAGAAGAAGTAGAGGATTTAGTGGTTTCATCAGATGCGAAATGGAGATAACCAGTAACGTTTAGGAATATGAATGATTGATAAAGCCATAGATTTATGAGGGGTCGGTTGGATTTCAATCAAAAAAATTTCTAGTGGGAGGGAAACCTAGGTTGGAGGGAGATTAGAATTTTTTTGAAGGCTAGAGGAACTTAGGTTTGGGGGGAGATTAGAATTTTTCGACCGCCATTGGGGGGAAATCCACTGAAAATATTAGAAAGCTAAAATGAAAATTTAGAGGGAAAGAGATGATTTGGGGCGGTTTTAGATTTTACTGATGTTATTTGTGTAAAATTTGGTGGTGGCTATTGAGGGTTTTTAGAAAGCTAAAACGAAAATTTTAGAGGGAAAGAGATAAAGATTTAATGATGCTATTATATTAAAAAGAGCATAAAAAAATCCTTATTTAATAATGCTTTTACATGAAGTAGCAATAAAAAATCACAGCGTTTTCATTTGATGCGTTTTTTAAAATATAACATCAAAAGATAAAGATTTAATGATGCTCTTTTATAAAAAGAGAATCAAAAAATCCTTATTTAATGATGCTTTTACATGAAGTAGCACTAAAAAATCTTTTTTTGATGCTATTTGTTGTTAACCGCCTTAACAAAAGCTTCTAGAAATTTATCTGATGCTTTTTTAAAGCGGTTCGTGTATTATTTAATGCTCTATACATTTAATGAGGCAGTTTTTACCATCAACCGCCTCAAAAATAAAGAATGGTTCGCATTATTAAATCACTTGTGTAGTAGTGTAGAACCAAGAACCGGACTGCAAATTAAAAAAAACGGTCCTGTCCGATCCTGTCCATAAGTCCAAATTCTCACCCCTAATTTTAAGGGATTAAACTCGTTTTTTTTGGGTTAAAATAGTCATTTTTGAAAAATTGAAGGGGTAAGCCGGTTACCCCTTAGATTTGTCAACAAAGATCCACGTTTCTCTATTCACGCTCTTGAAAAAGCACCTTAATATCAACCTTTCTTCGTCTCCGATCCTTAAAACATGCAACAAGATTTCTAGCATGACCCACTAGCATAAACAACAATAAACAAGAAAATCCAAAAAGGGTACCCCTAAATTTCTATCAACAGACAAAATCATCCCCAGTTTCCAATTCTCAATTCTCAATTCTAAATTCAGGTGAGAGTCAAACACAAAAGTCAACCATCAGCTACTGATT